TTGCAGAGAAAGAAACCGGGAAATCAAGAGCTCCTTTGGGAGAATATTACCTAAAGGAAAGCAGAACACTTAAAAAAACCCCTAAGAATGTTTATTAAATGCTTGAAAATGTGATGCCCAGTATCCGGTGACCCCACACTGAGCAAAGACAGCAGGCGAATTTTTGCCTCACCAGACAGTATCCATAAGAAACCCAAAGGCAGAAGCTGCTCCTATGTAGCCAGGTGGTTAGAAGCAAATGGGATAGAAGAACTTGTAAACTGCAGTGTAAAAAAGGAACTGCCTTTTGCTACTGTGTCAATTTTGAGAAATAAAAGCAATTGACCCCGTTTTGTTTGGAGACATGAGACTCTTTGCCTCTTCCCCAATCGGCTAATAGTAAGAAGCCTGTTGTGGAAAGCTCTTTCAGCCCCCGATGGTGGCGGTGGCTTTATCTCCATGCACGATCTTTAAACAGAGACACAGAAGTTTAAAAGGTGGCCATTTACACAAGTGTTTCACGCTCCTCATCGCTGCTGCCCTTCACTGTCCTCTCTCTTGTTTTTGAATCACAAAGCACTGAGAGCAGAAGGGAAACATGATCATTTTAAGCCAAAACATTGTCTTACACACACAGGAAATGCCCTTCCCGGCCTCCTCCCTCCCGTAATATTTCCCACCCCCCCACTCAAGCTCAGACAGACAATCCCTCGCCTTCATGAGCAGCACAAAGGTTCTTCAGAGACTGGTCAGGGAGCATCTGTTTACAGTGATCCGGCTGAATGTCTGAACTACAGGCTCAGGTTTGGCGCAACGGCAGTGCTAGGAATTTAAATATTGAAGTCACTTTAAAGGTGTGGGGGGAAAAGGGTGCCTACAGCCTATGGTGTCTACAGTTCAGTTTGTGCCTTTTTTGTTGTTTTCTTATGGTAGATGGAGACATGAGGGATTCATTTCTCCTTTGCATTTAATTTGACTCCTCAGGAAAATCAATGTTTCCTCCCTTATTTAGAAAGCAAAATCCAAACAAGCGGTTCGGGAACTGTCTTGATGCCATGGCCAATTCAAGTGAGGCCAATTCTTTAACGAACAGTTCTTTTCTTCCACGCGTGTGTTGTGTGTTTGATGTAAATAAGGGCTGGCAAAACCAAACCGGAATACACATCACTTCCACCGTCCAACAAGTCTCACTTAGGACACCTCTAACATGAGAAACCTGCTTGCTTTCCAATTGTCTGGGGAGTCCCCCAGGAAGAAAGGGTGGCCAAAGCAGGAAAAATCCCAGGATGTCAGGCCTTTCAGAATTCTTTGTGGCCAAGCTGCTCAGAAGTTGGTACTGCAACTCCTACGTCCACAAAGAAAGTGCTCAGCATCCAGCAGCTCCCACAGGAAAATCTGAACGCTTTCTCTGCTTTATCTTGTTAGCTCTATCTAGACCAGTGTTTTTTAAACTGATGTGCCGTGAGGCAGTCGGAGGTGTGCCACGGAGAACAACAGAGTTCAAAATGGCCGCCCTTAAAGGGGCAGGCGACTTTTTTTTTTTGCTCAATAACTTTCCCCCCCAACCCTTCCTCCCCACCCCCAATCTTTTTTTTTGCTCAACAAAAAATCCTAGGTGTTCCTCATAAAACAAAATATTGTTTGGTCTTCCTCAGTCTTGAAAAGTTTAAGAAACACTGATCTAGACAATCCTAACCATAGGCATTAAACCTGCATCTTTAAGACTCCATCCCTTTTCACATTAGACACCCACATTTGGAAATCTTGGACCACGAAGCACAAAAAGGCACAAAGTTGTTTTGTCCCTTCTTTGCAGGTCACTGTGAGGATTGACTCAGCCCTGGAGCTGGGGGCAGGAGGAGGGATGTGGGGGGTGGGTAGTCACAAGCAAACATCCTCCAACTAGCCCCACGTGACTGCTGAAATGCTTCTTGCACGAGGCGAGAGGCAAAGACAGTCTGGTTTGAATCAAGCCACTGAAATGATAAAGCCATGGCATGGGCGAGAAGGAGAAATAGCAGATCTCATCCGTTCCAGTGTGGAGGTGGAGAGGGAGATATTGTCAAACTGCCGCTACTAGCGAGAAATGGTGGCCAACGTTAGAAATAAACAGGAAAATCTGAGCACTTTCTCCGCTTTATTTTGTTAGCTCTATCTAGACAACTCTAGCCACAGGCATTAAACCCGCATCTTTAAGACTCCATCCCTTTTTCTGAACATGCGTTCCCCATCTCCATCTCTGCTCCACTCCATTTCTTTTACTTGCAAGTCATGAGTTTTCTTCAGAGAACTTCTTCTGGACTGACACTCCTTAACCAGCTGTGAGTCGGAGAAACAAGAACCCTCCCTGCTCCTAGACCAAAACCATTGGTGTCTCCTACACGGAGCTACACGCTTCGGCCTTGGCGACACTATTGCAGGCTGTTTACCTAAGCCACACACATGAACAATGTAGCTGAAGTCGATGTACTTAGGTCTGCTCGCTGCGGTAAGTCGACAGCTGATGCTCCCCCATCGACTCCGCTTACTCTCCTCGTTTTGGGGGAGTACTGGAGCCGACGCAAGAGTGCTTGATTTATTGCATCTATACTAGATGGGATAAATTGACCCCTGATGGATCAATCGCTGCCCATCGATCCAGAGGGTCATAGAGACACGCCCTTAGCTCCGTTACAGCAGAGGTGTATCCATCTAAAACCAATCGCAGCAGCTAAGGGATGAATGGCTTTGCAGTGACCTGGAAAACGGGATACCATTTTAACACACAGAGGTCTCCAGAGGGATTACATGGTACCAGTTTTCAAAGCAAGGCGGAGACAGAGGTCTCCTCTCGCGTCAGTTTCTACATGGAGGGAGCCCCATGATGTCAATGGAATCGATTCTGTTTTCTCCTGTGATTTGCCCCCTCCAAAGAATGCCCCCCACGTCCAGATCACACACACAGCTAGAGACAAGAGCCCCGTTTCAGTCTCAGAACTCTGAGGGGGCTGGGGGCGCAAAAGGTCCCCCATCACTGAACCCGCTAAGCTCTCACATGCCCCCCTTGTGAACACACTAGACTTGACCCCTGGCTGCTGTGTCCCGTGCCACCGATCAACACTGAATGTGCTAACCACGTGTGACGATGCACGCTCCTCCTCAGCCTGGGCTGCAGGGCCATTACCCTAAGAGGGAGGGAGGGAGAGAAAAGGAACCTCATGCCATGAAGGTGCGGATAAAGAAACATTTCCATGCGTGCGGAGGAGCGTGCAGCATTGGCAGCATCCTCGATCTGCTGCTGGCCTGGCACCCCTGGAAGGCGGAAAGCTATGGGGTGCAGCACTCTTACCGCTCGCCCTGTGATGGAAAAGAGGGTTGATCAGCAGGGGATGCTGGTCGCACTAGGGCAGCAGCCTGCTGTGATCCGGGGGCGCACTGAGACACTCCAGGCATTTGAGTCAAGAGGAACCGGGGCCGTCTGCATGGCTGGGCCGAGTAGCCTCGCCCTGCTGTTGGACCGAAGCAGGAGTCTGCTGGCTTCTTGCCCAGGGGAAACGTACCACTGAAGTGGAGTGCAGAGGAGATGACAAGGTGACAGGGAGCTGGACGGGCATCCCACAGAGTGCAGGGGACGGGCTGGGTAGAGACACGTGTACTCCTAGGGCCTGGTACAGAACTAGCGCAGAAGCCACGAGCACAGAGCAGATCCTCAGGGGTGACCGAGCACCTTTCGTTACCGCTTGCAAATAAACGCCCTGGGAGGCAATCAGAGAGAACGGGAGCCACGCCACGCCACCCCACCCATGATACACCCTCGACAGGGTCTCTACCCGTCCTGTCCCCAACCCCACACAATCAGGGATGGTGTAGACAGAGCTTGGTCCTGCCTTGAGGGCGGGGGGCTGGACTTGATGACCTCTCGAGATCCCTTCCAGTCCTATGATTCTATGAATCCCTGCCGCTCCACTGATCTCTCACCTCCCCGGTAGTCAGACACACCCTGCTCTACTCTTCTGGCCCAGGTGGCTTTGTAGGACACCTGCTAATGTCAGAGGAAACCAAGATGGGGATTTCTGCGCCTTGGACTCTGAAGTCTGGGGACACTGGAGGACTCCCATGGGCACTGCTATGCAAATGTAGGGAGTTCCTTTGTGGGGAGAAGGCATCCCCTACTGGGCCGGTGAGAGAGCTCTTATGCAATGCCGGAGGGGGAATGACAAAGTTACTGGCACTTCGAGCTGCACACAACGATCCTCAGAAGCTTGAGAGCGGGGGCTCACCGGCAGTGGCCAGGACCCGGGATGTTTGTCCCACCCCATGGTAGACGAGCCCTGCAGGGCTGAAGCCCCCAACCCTGTTGAGCAGAAGCACCTACCCCACCATTCACGCAAGGCGTGGATCCCAAACTTCTCCTGCTCCAGTCGAGTAGGTGGAGAATGGGGGCGGGAGCGTGGCGGGCTCCGTGAGCCGCACTTCAATGGTAAAAGGACGTCAGGTGGCTCGCAAGCCGCAGCTTGGCCGCTCCTGCTCTATGCTATCCCACCGGAGGGTACCTCAATGTCGTCTCCGCTCCCTCCAAAGGCGCCTTGCGGGACCTGCTTGCCAAGATCCCGAGGTGGATGGGAGAAGAAACCAGCGCACTGCAGGTCGCGCGGGGGCACCACGAAGGCGCCTGATCGCTCTGTGTGGGGCGCCCCCGAGGTCGCACGGTAGGGCAACAGCACAAGTACCAGCTGGATGAATCACGCTACAAGCCCTCCCTCTGGGTGTGGCTACAGGGCGAGCACTCGGTGAGGTGCTGCTGGTGACTCGGGAGGTGGCGTTCCGGGTGAGGTAGTGCTAGGGAGGGCTCTCGTATAAGGCAGGCAGCACGGATGCAGTAAAGCTACACTGGCTCTTTGGCAGACACTTGCAGAATCCAGAAAGCCTTGCTCAAGAGACCCGACATGAAAAAGATCCGCAGGGGGTTTCGCTCAGAATGTGAGACTTGGAATGATCCGTGGGGGGGTCGATGCTCAGCAGCCTTCGGAAGTCAACCCCCCCCCCCCAAATGGAGGCGCTCAAGATGGCGCAGCATTGTTGATCATCTGGGCCCATCCACTCTGACAGGATCTGCCCTTTGTTTCTATTGACCAGGAGTAGATGAAATCAGCATCTGCGGTCCCCAGTGACGATCCTCACAGGACGTTCACTGGAGACGTGATGACGACGTGTTACAGTGACAAATGACACCGAGAGGCCCAGTCCTTTCCATGCAGGGCTTTGTGTTTCTCCAGATGAGCAGGTCCCACGCCCAGGTGCTCTTTTCAGTTGTGGATGCCAGACGCATGAACCACTTGGGGTGGCTTCCTGGAAGGCAGGTTTTGCACTGGGCTGAGGATCATCTATCATAATTTCTTTGTGTTCTGCTCAGGAAGGGGAAGTTTATATTCCCCTTTCCCTTCGTGGGGACTTCCAGCCCCCGTTCCTCCACAGACGAGCCGCGCCGCCCTGCGGCACTTGGGAAGAAAGCTTGACCAAGCCCTGGCTGGATTGATTGAGTTGGGGTTGGTCCTGCTTTGGGCAGGAGGCTGGACTCCATGACTCCTGAGGTCTCTTCCCGCCCTAGGATGCTGGGACAGGCCAGAGGATCTGAGCAAGGCAAGTACGTCCCATTGTTAATTTGAATTTCCTCCCGTGCTTGCGAGCCGAAAGCCCATTTTAAAAAGCATATTGGGCCGGGTGCGGCGATAATATGTCGCCTCTGCCACTGGCGAGCCGCCCCCTCCGCGCACCCCGCTGTGCTTATGAGGTATTTATCGCCATTGTTTACACCCCCACGCTCCGGCGTGTCTGCGCTACGATTGCAGGGTGTGTGGAGAGCCAATGGCCCTGCGCTGGTGTGGAGATTCCCCAGCCAGGCACTGTGGAGAGGGACTCTGGAGCAGGCCCTGGGCGTGCTTGGTGTTCTTTGGGCACCAGCGGCTCTTTCTAGACCGGAGGGCGCCCCCTTTACTCCCGGCTGCACGGCCGTGGTAGAGGTGGGCTGGGAAGAGGACTTGCTGGGCCCACCTCTGCTTTGAATGCCTGACAGGGGGAGCCTGCTCGCAGAGAGACGGGACTGGGGCCCGGCAGAGGTGCGCGCTGACGCCTGCCATCCAGGAGCAGTGTGAGTGGCAGGTCTCCCCTGAACTCCAGTCGGCGGGAGGAAGGGGGAAGACAGAACAGAGGCAGCAGAGGCCCAAGCCCCGGGTCCCCTAGGAGGCTGCAAGTTCTGGGCATAAGCCAGATTCTCCGGGAGTCACCACTTCACCCACATGCCAGGCCACGGGTGCCAACGAGCCCAAGGTTTCAGCAGCAGCTGCCGTCCTTAGGAGAACCCCCAACATCTCTTAGCCCCTTGCACGATGCACCCCCTCCCCCAGCACAGGGGTATCTAATCCCAGCAATGGGCCATCGTCGGAGGGTCATCACAGAGGGCTGTCTGCCTACGTAGGATGCTGCTGCAGAACATGCTGTGCTAAGGGCGAGACTGGACCCGACCAGAGGGAAAAAGACCACACATCCCAAGAGAAATAGCACGTCCCTGTGCTCCCCCAGGGTTCACTCGGTGTAGGAAGCTGCTCAGTCCTCCAGCGAGATGGCAGCTAGCAAGGTGGAACAAGCAGATCCTGGCAAGTTACACTGATGCGGAACCAGACGGGAAACTCCCACCAGCCAAGAACGAGGCTAAAACTTGGCACTCTCCCAGTTCACGTGCACACGTCACCTCTGCGACATCAGGTTGTCTGGCTGCCTCTTCCCCCTCCCTGTCAACCCCGGCACCAACAGGGTTTTGGAGTCTATTTGTCAGTTGTGAATATACTTTAGGATGCACCTGTCCAACATCTGGCTAGCACCCACCCCTGCTGGGCCCCTCTCCTCCCGGCGAAGAGACCTTTACTGGCCCTATCTCCTCCTCGCCCCAGGGTACAGCCCACTGCCCGAAATGCAGACCGCTTGATTTCAGAAGGAGAAAAGGAATTTTAGAGCCAGGTTCTTCTCAGGCAGAGGAGGGAGGGAGCCGGGAGGGGGAAGAGAACCTCTGAAATCTGATCGAACCAGGTTCTCTGTCGGAGAGTTAAGATCCCGCGGGATAGGGGATATTCAGCGCAGGCTGGAACTCAGTCACAGAGCAACACCCTGCCCCGAGGGACTGACTGGAGCCAACTCCACCGAAGCCCATTCAAGAAATAAACCTACAGGCCCCGCCGGCACATGGAACGTGGCTGCCCCAATGAAAAGCAGCCCAGGGAACAGGGAGGGGGAAGAATGCCGGTGATTGGCGCCAAAACCCAACCCCTGAACATGGCTTAACCCCCGATCTGGCAGACCCAGTGGAAGGCGCTGGCCCGATGCGAAGCTGTCACCGGGTCAGACTGCAGCTGTCACATGTCAGGCAGCAGGCAAGTTCTCAGCATAACCCCCCTCCCCGGGCAGCGCAGCATGGACTGATCCCTTCCTGCTGCTGGGTTCAGGCTTACGATGCTTTTCGTTCTCGGTGCATGGAGTTCAGATCAACTCACGTTACACCTGCCTGCGGGGCAAGGGGCGAGGAGGCGGAAGGGAGATTTTTGTGGTGGAAAGAATGATGGGCGAATTATTTGTCCATTAAAATCAGGAGTCAGATGCCCAACCACCTTCCCTCCTCGGCCTTAGCGGGCCACGGGGGCAGGAATTCTTTAAGGGGAGAGTGCTTCAATACCAAGGAAAGATCAGTGCTACTTTGTCCGAGCTCCCTGCCACCGTCCGACCCCGCGTGCCCACGTGTGTGTGTCTGCGCGTGTGTTTTGGCAAGAGGTTGCTGAGGTTACATGATGCAGCATTTGTTCTTGTGGTTGTGAGGGTCCTTGAATCGGAGTCTCTGCTTTGGCCGGTATTTTTCCAAGTACATGAGTTGCTTGCTGTTGATAGCTCCTCGGCGCTTCCTGGAACACAAAGAGAAAGCCATCAATGCTCCCAGGCCGGGGAGCGTCTGCACACAGCCCTGCCCTCCCCCTCTCTCTGCCTTGCGCCCATAACTCAGGGTGCGTCTAGACTACAGGCTTTTGTCGACAGAGGCTTTGTCGACAGCGTCTGTCGACAAAGACTGTCTAGACTACATCCAGTTCTGTCGACAAAGCAAGGCGCTTAGTCAACATGACAGTGTAGACGCAAAGGACAGTGTAGACGCAATAACGCCTTTTGTCGACAGAACTCTGTCGACAGAAGGCGTTATTCCTCGTAGAATGAGGTTTACCGCCGTCGACAAAACTGCCGAGTTCTGTCGACATTATATCGACTGAACTTGGCAGTAGTGTAGTTTTGTCAACAAAAGTCCACTTTTGTTGACAAAACCCTGTAGTCTAGACATACCCTCAGTGTCCATGCAGCAGAACCCTGACAGACTAACAGGGCCCATGGCCAGCAAGTGGCTCTAGAGGCCCTGGGGGAAATGCCACATCCCTCAACAGCGGGGGGGAAGGGTAGGTTCAAAGCCAGAGGCTGCATTTCTCCCCCTTCCTGCCTCTCATGCTTAGTGATGCAGTAAATCCAGCTTTGACTTCAGCAGGCCTGTGTGCCTCCCCCACCATTAATGCTGTTACCCGGGGAGCTGGGAAATATGGGAGGGAGCAAACTCTCGCAGGCTGAGTGTAAGCAGAGGGATATTTAGATCAACAGCACGCTTGCAGGGAGGTCTATTCAGCTGTGGGTTATCTCCAGGGAAGTGGTGGGAACGAATGTTCCTTCTAGGGTTTTTTCCCACCCATGTGCAGAATAAATTTTGTTGTATGCACTGTGATGTGTGCAGATGTGCACCACCACTAGAAACAGATGCTGCTGGCTGTAGGTGCTCTTCTAATCAGCTTCATGGCATTTGAAACTCTCCCGGGTGGCTGCCCATGTGCTCAGCTTTCAGGGAACACTGGTGGGGACAGCATGTCTCAGGGGCATTTAAAAATGGACTAATAATGATAACCTGAGGATTCATCTCCAGGGGAGGGAACTCCAGTCATTAGGAAAAGTTATAACGTGTTAGTAACGGGGGATTCAATCATTAGAAACATAGATAGCTGGGTTTGTGATGACCAGGAGAACTGTATGGAGCACATGGATAGGACAGAGACATCTCTTGGGGAGAGTCTATGACTAGAGATGCTCTATATTCTAGTCAGGAGGAGAGGATGGAAGTATGGGTCAGATCAGATGAAACACAATCAAATGAAAAAGAGTCTAACACATCGGGAAATGTCAGACAGATAAATAGAGACAAATTATTTAAGTGCTTATACACAAATGCTAGAAGATTAAATAATAAAATGGGTGAACTAGAGTGCCTAGTTTTAAAGGAGGATATTGATAAAATAGACACCACAGAAACTTGGTGGAATGAAGACAATCAATGGGACACAGATATACCAGGGTACACAATATATCATAAGGACAGAACAGGTTGTGCTGGTGGGGGAGTGGCACTTTATGTGAAAGAAAATGTAGAATCAAATTAAGTAAAAATCTTAAATGAGCCAAAATGTTCCACAGAATCTCTATGGATAGCAATTCCATGCTCCAATAATACGAATATAGCAGCAGGGATATAATATTGACCACCAGATCAGGACAGTAATAGTGACTATGAAATGCTAAGGGAGATTAGAGAGGCTATAAAAATAAAAAAAACCTCAGTAATAGTGGGGGATTTTAACTATTCCCATACTGACTGAGTACATGTCACCTCAGGATGGGATGCAGAGATAAAATTTCTTGATACCTTAAATGACTGCTTCTTGGAGCAGCTGGTTCTGGAACCCACAAGGGGAGAGGCTATTCTTGATTTAGTCCTAAGTGGACCGCTGGATCTGGTTCAAGAGGTAAATATATCTGGACCGCATGGATAACATAATTAAATGTAACATCCCGGTGGTGGGAAAAACACCCCGGCAGCCCAACACTGTGGCATTTCATTTCAGAAAGGGGAACGACACAAAAATGAGGAAATGAATTAAACAGAAATTAAAAGGGACAGTGACAAAAGTAAAATCCCTGCAAGCTGCCTGGAGACTTTTCAAAGACGCCATAATAGAGGCCCAACTTCAATGTACACCCCAAATTACAGAACACAGTCAGAGAACCAAAAAAGCGCCACCATGGCTTAACAACCACCTGGACCCTCTGCAACCCTTGTTTCATTTACTGAGTAGTCGTCAATGCCGCCGCACGGAAGGCGCGGGCCTTTGCCTGGGGATCCTAGCTCTGCTCACGAACTGCTCCTCACTCCAGAACGAAGTCTGCATTAATAGGTCACTAGGAGTTTAGCAGACTAATAATTCCTTGATCCCTCTGGTCCACAACCACCCACATAGCTGGGGAAACAATAACTGATGATGAGCAGCAAAAAAGAAAAGAAAAAAAAAAAGAGGAGGGCCGGGTCTGCTCAGCCCTGGCTCCAGATCTGTATACACAGACTCCCGCGAGACTGCTACACCCATGAAACACAGGGCAGCCAGGGGGAAAGCAAAGAAAACTCTAGCGCCGGCTTTGTTTTTAAAGCTTATGTGAGGCTGGTGTCTAATACAAAGCTAGGATTATGACAGGCTTCCTTCCCTTTCTCTCTGAAGCCAACAGGCGCGTGAGACTCATTTTCTCCATCTCCCGGCAGCTGTGGGGAGGACACAGCAAGCATCTGAAGGCTGTTTCATCCTACTTGCACTCAGTCACTCAGAGTTCACGAGCTGCTCTCCAAAGTGCATGCTCTGCCGGGTGCAGCCCTGAAACAGGACCTGTCCCTTTCGTAATCACGGGTGATTTGTTCCCGGGAGCAGCAAGAGCCCCATGCCACTCTGGATGTATGAGGCGGTCAATTTGCTGCTTGGCACACAGTGGAGGGGACTTACTGTCGGATGAACTGAATGGCGTCTTCATACTTCATCCCGCTCTCGATCAGAGCCAGGGCTACGAGAACAGGCGCTCTGAAAAGTCAATAAGAGAGGAGTCACTTCCTGCTTTAATTAAAGACATTCCAGCAGAGCCTTTACCAAAAAACACCCACATCGTCATGGACTCTTTCCAAAACCTACTGTAATCACATCAACCCCACCTCATGCTAAACCCACAGCGTCATGAACACATGCACAAAATCAATAGTGTCACGGGTGATACAGCCCACAGACACTCCTGCGTCCAGGGTCTTCTACCGGATGTACCCAGAACAAAGCCCAGCAGCACAATTGTAATTGTGTGTTCATTGCTCCTTCCCACCTGCTAAACTCTGCCTTTCGGACCTTGTCATTTGGCCACAAATATTAACCTGAATTTGGAGCTCTGAGGCACAGGGTATATCCAAGCCTATAGAAATCATGCTCCTGTTAAAGCGAGGATAAAATAGAGAGGGGCCAGCTGGCTGCTCTCCCTATAAAACGCAACTTTGATTCCAGAGGAATCTGGCAAATGATTTGCAAGGAGATTAATAAAAGAAAAAAAAAACCTACCCCAAAACAAACAAAAAACCAAACCAGATCCAAATGAACGAGATACGAAGTATCTCAAAAGTGGTTTCTAATTTTAATGGGGGAGATTTTACAGGCCACACTGACATGGCAGAGAGCTCAACTGAAATCAGTGTGACAATCCAGCATGTGAATGACACAGGATTCCAGTATCAGGGAGGTAGCCGTGTTAGTCTGGATCTGCAAAAGCAACAAGGAGTCCTGTGGCACCTTACAGACTAACAGATGTATTGGAGCATGAGCTTTCATGGGCAAAGACCCACTTCGTCAGATATATGTCATAATGCATCTGACGAAGTGGGTCTTTGCCCACGAAAGCTTATGCTCCAATACATAGGATTCCAGGCACATATTAAAATCTGTTGCAAACAAGCATGTGACAACTTGCACTTGGATTTCTGCTCTATTTCTGGGGTGCTTTTTAAACCAAGAGAGAGACTCATTCCCAGGCAAGGAAGACTGACAAGCCCGCATCATGCATCACTGCAGGGGAACGACAGGTCTCACCTCTAGACAGAGGGGAAAGGTACAAAGTTACTACTCTCTTTAGCCTGCTCAGGGTTGAGCCAGGAAGTTGATTTACATAATGCCTGAGTTATGTAGTTTCCTTATTAAAGGACTTTAATAAGTGATGGAGTGAGCAAAAGGAATGGCCTAATGCACTCCACATCAATGGGCCCTATATTTTTTCCATCCATGTGTGGAATAAATGTTGTTACGGACACTGGGCATGTGCAGATGTGCACCACCAGTAGCAACACATGCTGCCGGCTGCAGGTGTGCTGCCAATCAGGTGGGTGGCATTTGAATCTCTCCAAGCGCTCGGCTTACCGGGAATACAACTCCACACCCTCAGACCCGCTGTTGGGCTTTGCTCTTCAACGCTGCTTCATGGATTCAGATGCCCAATTCCCATTAAAGTCAAGCGGGTGGCATTTGGGAGATGCCGTTTTATTTATTTAGCCACCCAAACTGAGGAGCCAGGCCAAGCCTCTGGGCACAGTTAAGTCCCACTGAGGGACAGCCAAGCTCGAAGAGTCTAGCAGCGACTCTATTCTGAACTCCGGCCATGAGTGATCTCTCGTCAGGTGACTTGTAGGCGGAGCTCACAAGAGTCCCGCCCACTGCCCCTACTCCAATCTGACCCCCGGGGCTGCAGCACAAGTTTAAACTCCACTGACTTCAATGGTGTGCTGAATCGGGAGCCTTATCGGCATCAGCTGAGGAGAGGAGACTGCTCATTAGCCCCTCCCCCAGTCCCCGGCCTGCCACAGCTGCTTTAGGTAACGTCCACTGAGGACCAGCGTGAGGCATAGCTTAAAGAAAGAGGCTGCCGAGTTGAAATCAAGGGCATATTACCCCCCTGATACCCCGCAAGGAGTTAAGTTCTCTTCCATTGTTGCGTGCAGGAGTCGCGCTAGACACAGGATACGAGAGAGACAAGGCAGGGGAGATCAGGTCTTTTATTCGCCCACCTGCTGTTGGGGAAAGGGACGAACTTTCAAGCTAAAGAGCTGGAGTCTCTCGAAGGTTTGTCTCTTTCCCCACCGGATGCTGATCCAGTAAAGGATCTGACCTCCCCCCTCTCGTCTTTCTAACCTGCCTTGGCTTCTCCTCCAACATCAGGACTTTTACAACCCCCTTCTCATCTTAAAAGATTGTCGTTCCCCCCTACTTTCTGGGTTGAAAGATGGGCAAGTCCCCCAAAGTCTGACCATATGCACAGCCCTGCCACCTGCTCAGAGGAGGAGCTGGGAAAAAAGAGAGAATTTCCCTTCCCTGCAGCTCATCAAGCAACAGGGGACTCAGCGGCCACCTGGAACAGGAGATGTGTCCCTTTGACAAGCTATTTACACCTAGCTCTGCTTTCTCTGAGATCAATGTTAAAGGCAGCTCCCAGGTGCTTTTGTGCCCTTGCTTACCGGCCCAGGCCAGCCACACAATGAACTGCCACGCAGCAGCCGGGGTCTTCACAAAACTTTGTTTTCAGCAAGTTGAGCCAGTCTTCCACTATTTTGCTGGGAGGAGGAGCGCCGTCATCAAAGGGCCAGTCCTAATGGAAGGGCAGGAGGGGAGAGGGAGTTAGCAATAGACACGCAACGTTCGGACATGGCAAACAAACACCGAGGGGAGGCAGGACCGTGAAGCTTTCCCCTCCCCCCAATCTCCCATTTTACCAGGGCTAGATCTCTAAAGTACGACAGACGACGCCCCAGGCTCCCGAGAACAGAGCTGTTCCCACTCGAGATGTTTCACGTCGCTCCGTGACGCAGTTTGCTCAGCTGTGTTATGGACATGTCGCTATGGATTACTACGAGGCAGCGTGACTTTGTGACCAAAGCTGGGAGGCAGGAGAACGGAGTTCTATTCCTAGCTCTGCTCCTGGCCTGCTGGGTGACCCTGGGAGAGTCACCTCCTTGATTCAGTTTCCCCATCTGTAAAATGGCAACAATGACACTGAGCTCCTTTGTAAAGTGCATGCAGATCTACTCAAGGGACACGCTGGCTCAGAGCTAGCTATGATTATTTCTAGCTTCGCCAGTTGGGGCTGTGAGGCTCATATTTACATGCTTTGAGATCCTTAGGTGGGAACCTGTAAATGTTTAGCAGTAAAAGCCACACAAGTAACAAAGTGGAGCATGAGTTTCTCAGCAAGTTGAGCTATAAGGGCACCTTCCCTGCCGGAGGGAATTTTAGAGTGCTGCCCGAAGAAGGTAACAGATGTCACTTCCAAAGGTTCATTTCTAGGGTGCCACTCCATCTCCGAGTCTCACTGCTGCAGCGAGAGACAGCGGCCAAACTCCGGCCTCCCTAAACTGGAAACACATGCAGGGTTTGGCAGATGTTGCAGTTCAGATGTTTGAGCTGAGTGTGGGTGGGAAAAGTAACTGCTGGTTCCAACGCTGCCAGCTACAGCTACAGGGAGTGGGAACTCGCAGGAAAAACAGACGTCCTTCCTGAGCCAGAAAGTTACAACTTCCGAAAGGCCCCCCTCATCCCGACCATGGAAAGAGCCTACGAGCTGGCCTATGTCCCAGAGACTGACACCAATCAAAGTGCAATTAAACAGCCGGCGGAAGGCCAGCCCTGCCTGATCTGGGAAAAGGGCGTGCAAGGTAAAAAGGACAGTAAAGCTAAGAGGCTTCTAACCACAAAGGAGCTGGATACGGAGAGCGAAACCACAATATTCCCTTGTTGAACTTGTAACAAGCTCTCCCTGTTCCTCTCCTCCACTGCCCCTTCCCGGCGAAACTAAGTTGTTGGCAGATGCAGTCTGCTTTGCAGAAGGACTCTCGGGTGCACAGGTGATGGATTCTAGAATTAGCATGTGCATCAACAGCTGGCTTGGATGCGGAAATAAAGCCACCCAGCAGACAATGCACATGCCACAAAGCAGAGGAAGCAACAAACCCACAGCTTCCCCATTCCACCACATCCCAAGCAGCCAGTGTGCAGCTGAAAAGTCATTTGTTGACATGTCAATATTCGGTGCCCTTTAGGAGATCAGGTTACAGCAGGGGGCCAAAAGGCCACTGATTTCAGACACCCCCGCTTGACACACCTGAAAGAGGCCTGATTTTTAAGGGCCAAGGGCTCAACCCTTCCTGGAAGAGACCCCCTCTAAGATGCCTAAAGTTTGGGACCCAACACTGAGGCCAGCCAAAACTACTACTCACTTTTCATAGAATCACAGAAGAGGAGGGTTGCAAGAAACCTCAGGAAGTCCTGTTGTCCAGCCCCCAGCCCAAAGCAGGACCAACTCCAACTAAATCTTTTGGAAACATCGTTTGAGAGATTAGGAATGGGTTGCTTATGTTGCCCAAGGGGACATCAGACTAAACCTAAGAGATACGCTGCTAACAGTAAGGCCACGGACCATGGGGACGGCTGACTCAGGGATGTGGTCTCAGTCTCGTCTGTACCTCAGGACTGGCTGTCTTTCTAAGGCTATGTCTGCACCAGCGGTTCCCAACCTGTTCCAGATGGGGACCCATTCTGTCAATTCAGGAAAACTTGGTGACCCAAGGCAATTCAAAAACAGGAGCAGAAGCGGGGGCACAGCCACCTGGGGAGACACTTGGCGACCCATATTTGGGTCCCGACTCATCGGTTGGGAAACCTTGGTCTACACTATCACTTTTGTGAGGTGTAACTTACACGGCTCTGGGGCGTGTGTTACATTGACAGCGGTGTGCGCACAGTGCCGTCGCTGGGAGATGTTCTCCTTCGGCACAGAGCGGCCACGCAAAGGAGCTCACAGCAGCACCGCTGCGTCGGTACGACCGTGCCGCTGTAAGCGCCCGACTGTAGCCATGGCCTCAGAGCTCTGGGCCAGCTTAGTCACCAGCTGCAGGCACGGCCCAGAAAGTAGAGCGCTCCGGCCTTTATTATGCTGCAGCTCTGATGAGATCATTAGGGTTACCAGGTAGAATCCCCCCAAAATACCGGACACACTTGATCGTGGGCGGGGAGGAGGAAGGCGGACCAGCTGGGAGGAACGGGGGGGAGAGGTGGGGCTGGCGGGGGAAGGCACTGGGGAGTCCCAGCTACTGCCCCCGCCCCACCCGGCTTTTGCACGCGACCACAGGGCGCCAATCGCGGCCCCACCTCCCAGTCGCTCCCCCGCCCGGCTTCCATCCAGCACCCAGCCGGAAATTCAGAAAATACCAGACATTGCACATGTCCGGTATTTTCTGCATTTTTCTACTGGACAGAGGGCGCAAATACCGGACGGTCCGGTAAAAAACTGTGTTCCGAGGCAGTTGGAGGTGTGCCACGGAGAACAGAATTCAAAATGGCCACCCTTAAAGGGGCAGGCAACTTTTTTTCTTTTTGCTCAATGACTTTCCCATGACCCTTTTTTCCCCCTCAATAACATTACCCTGACCCTTCAGGCCCCCCTGACATTTTTTTTCCCCTCAACAAAAAATCCTTGGTGTTTCTCATAAAAAAAAATGGTTTGGTCTTAAACTGCTCTGGTGAGTCAGGAGCAAGGGCTTTTAGTCTCTCAGGAAGCGGGAAGGCCAGGGCTGTTCACACAGCTCAGGGCAGGGCTGCTGCGAGGCAGGTGAAGACCTAGTGAGGGGACAGGGCAGACCCTGACCCATAGGAGCCTAGCCATGGAGCACAGGATAGGTAGGGGTGCAGCAGCCTGGGCTACACGGGAAGCAAACCTTGTGTTACAAACTAGCCTGCTGCCTTCCCCCCGACCTTCGTAAAGGCTGGACACACAGTTCACCCTTGCAAGCGTTCACATCACCCCCAGCGCTTTTGTATATAGAAAAATGGTAGGCAGGAGTGGGAGGTGGTGTCACTGTTCCGCTTGCTCACAAGCGGTCTTTGCTACTTTTCCCATCCCGGGTGTCACCCCTTCCCACCGCTTGCTTGCCTCAGCCGCCTGTTGTCTTGCAGGCTCTAGTCACACAAGTGACGTTGCATGGGCGAGTCGGCACAGCTGCACAGGATCTGAGCCCTCTTCCTTCAGGCTGGGCCCTGGCCTGGCTGAGTCCTCTAGGTACGACCCAAGCCCAGCAACCAGAGAACGTACGGCCCTGGCTTTCACTTTCGTTACTAGGGGCAATGCACAATATTAGCAAGCCACAGAGGTAAGAAAGAGCATCTCCCTTGGCTTTGGCCACACACACACACGCCCTTCAGCATGGAGCAGAGCATGGCCCGGCGGCGAGCCAGACAGCAGCGCAAGCTTATCGTACGCTACGCCCAGGATCTGTATCCGATGGGCTCCGGGGGTTGTGCTCAGAAAAACAGCTGGCCTGGGATGCATGCGGCATGGGAACCGGCTAATTCCTGCTCTGAGTGGGCGTGGGGACAGGGAGCTGCTGGGCCAGGAAGGAGGGGAAGTTCCCAGCGGCTGAAACATGAGACCTGCTTTTCCCACCTCACTCCCATTGGGGTCCCCCAAGAATCCAACCGCGAGCTGCGAGGGCCCCGGCGGCGTGGGTGCAGCCACACAGAACAAGCAGTGCGGGGGAGGGGGAGGGATTGGCGGCCTTAGGGCTGCTCTCTGGGGAAGGGAATTGTGGAGCTGTAAGAGCAGGGTGCAGGGAGGCAGGCGGACACTGGCTCTTCTGGGGATGGAGAAAGGCCTCCCTCCTTGGGGGTGGGCCGGAAGGGTCTGATGATTGACGGGACTCGGTGCATTGGAAGCATTAACCGATCGAACTACAATGTGCTGCCCCTCCTCCCCCCATCAGCCTCAGCCCAGGACCTTCCGGTTTGTCCTCACACAAGGGAATCGCTCACCTTGCAGCTGCTGTTGGCCAAGCTTACTGTGCATGAGGCTCCTTGCCCCCCGCCATCCTCCTCCATGTGCCTCCCGTCCCCCTCTAGTTCAGGGTCTCCCCACACTCCCCGTTCCCACAGCAGGGCTCTGAGCACCCCCCAGTCTCCCCACATCAAGGGCTCCTCCACTGGTGCCTACAACCTTCTGTGACACTTTGGAATCCGTTATAGACTGACAGCGAAACACTGTCGTCACCTTAGGAGCCCTATAGAGTTATCTGCCTTGCTCAGTGAGGGCTATTTCATCTCAAGGCAGAATGGGGGCTAATCCCACAATGCTTCAGAGAGCCCCCACCACAGCATGCACCCTTCTGATCTGTGGCCTGGGTGGTGGCGGACACACAGCGTTAGACACTGGCCTCCCCGTTAAAGCCTGTCAACTCCAGCACAGCGACCCAACATCCCCTCTCCTCACTGCTACGGGCATCTGACAACACACAACACTTGCCAGCTGGCCATTCCTCCACTGCCACTGCCTGTCCTCCGAGTTTCAGATCATGGCAGGTCCTCCTGATGGTAGAAACGCTCAGGTAGATCGGCCACGTGAGCAGGGCTGACGCCCCTATCAAAGCAGGCTGTGTGTCTCTACATGGCTCACCACATCACTTACAACCCCCTCCCATTGTGGCCAGGTCTACGCTACACCCAGGCGGTCAGCTTCAGGTACGTAAATAACGTAGCTGGAGTCGACGTACCTTAAGCAGAGCTTGGCGCCGTCCCCACAGCAGGAGGTGGACGGGAGAAACGCTC